GAATAGGGATGGCATAATGAAAACAAGCCAGGCTAACATTAGCACCTTTCCACAAAGTATGTTAAACAGAGAAGGACAAAAACCATGCTTTAAACCCACGTATTAAAAAAAAATGAAAAAAAAGTAACCCACTTACACACTCCTTTTTTACCATGAAGCAGCTTTACTGGGTTACTGAGAAAACCGTGTGTTAGTTGGGGTTTCATTCAATCTAGACTCTATGCAACCTTCAGTTCTGGAGCTGCATTTGGCTCTTTGAACTTTTCAGTGTTGCTCTTCAAAACTTTGAAAAACATGATATAGGTGGAAGGTGGGATACAACCAAATGCCCGGATGCATCTCCGCTTGTGATGTGGGGTCTGCCTTCCCTGACCCTGCTGGAATACTGTGCATGCAGTTGTGTGAGGGGATGCTGGGGGGTGTCTGGCGCCTGGGATCGGATGGCTTGTGTGCCTTAATTTAGTAGGTGGGTGGACTAACACCATACGGATGTGGGGGACCTGGAATGGCTTAGATTGGCTGGGGATGGGATGGGCTCGTCAGTGGATTGGCTATCTGCTGTGGCATATGTGGGGGTGGTTTCTGAGGGATTACTGAGGCCAGACCTGTGCTACACTGCTGCTCTCTTCCATTTGTTGGTGCCCAATCCCAGCCCAGGTGGAGTGTTTGCTCCCCTCACCTACTGGAACATCAAAGGTCCCAAGTATGATTAGGGCCTGTCTCCTCTCCCATCTTATGCTCCCAGCTGCTGGGCCTGGATGAAGCCTTCTGGCCTTGTGAGGTCCCCTCTAGTGGTAGGTGCACTCCCAGGCCTCGGACCCTGGGGCTCTCATCTGGGTACACCTTATTCATGACTGGCCGCTGATGGAGCCCAGGGCTCAGTGCCGCGGCACCTTGGTGCCCTTCTATTGTGCCCTTCTATAGTTGGGGCAGCCGTCCCTATTTCTACCCTCCTTGTGTTTTGGAATGTCTCTAGATATCTGCCTCCAGGGTCTCCTCTTTATTGGTCCCGTGCCCTGTAGGGTGAGTCTGGGGTCACCGACACCTACTATTAAGCATATTTTCTTTCTGATGAAGCTTTGTAAATCCTTTATACACAAGCATGCCCATGCATGCAACCCACAGGAGTTTGGTTACAGGTGCTCCAAAATACACTGTAATACTAAATACTAAGGTGCAGCTACAGATATATATTACCCTGCAAAACATTGTTCAATCACCTTAGGTTTTGCTTTCTTTTTTGTTCCTAAATGGGGTTTTTTTCTGAGAGCCTCTGTTTAGTTAGATTGATAGATGATTTTCTTTCCAAGTAAACCTAAGCAAGTAAAAGTTTATTTTTAAAAAGTAGTAAAATTATCTTGGTGCACCTGACTTCCCTCCACTAGGTGGTGGAGAGCAACCTGAAAATGGTTTCCAGGGGGGAACTGGATCTCTTAGGTGAACACAGTAAAGATGAGCGAAGGACTGAATTAATGTTTTTCTATAATCCCACTCTGATGCGTACTTCTCAACATTGTTCTACCTGGCTTTTGGAGAGGTTTGATGCCTCTCGCTTTTATTTGATGCCTCTTGTATTTGAATCTCTTTGTTGGTGTCCAATAATCCAATAGATAAGTGCAGAGTATATTTAAAGCAAAAGATGTTAAACTTATTTAACTATTTCCTACTGCTTTCAATGTTGATAACTTTTATATAGATCTATTAAGATAGTTTTTACCACTTAGCCAAATATAACCTTTACTTATTTATGTCAGGTGAAAGACCATAATTCTTGGGTTTTTTAATACACACCTGAAGGCATTTTCTGAACAATTCTCATTTTTAGTCATTGTTTTTTAAAATATATATATATATATATTTAATTCTAATGCTTCATAGTATTTTTTGAAAACATAATGATATGCAAATTATTTAAAGAAGTGTGCCCTGGGATAACTTACAATGCCGCCTTTTGATGAATTACATATTAAGGTGAAGGTATGAATTCAGTAGAACCATTTTTAAAAACATATTTGTAATTATTGCTTTATAATGTCCTTGAAACTCTCGGTTTTAAAGCTTTTTGCTTTAAAACAGATCTTTAAGCATAAAAGAAGAAAAGTATTCTGTAAAATCTTAAAATATTATCAAAAAGTTATTGAAGTATAAAGGAAACAAAATTAAAGTTTTGAAATTTCAACCAAATAAATTTGTTTTCTTTAAATATATTTTTGGGGTCATTGGTCAATTAAATACTTACTGTATATAAAACATTCATCAAGTATTCTGTCAATGTTAAAGGCCACTCTATTTTTGCCTTTCCTTAAAAATGTTTTCCTTAAAATATCCATCCATCCATCCATCCATCCATCCATCCATCCATCCATCCATCCATCCATCCATCCATCCATCCATCCATCCATTCATGTGCATAGCATTAAAACACAAAACAGGATTTTTCTATCTCTTTTTTTTAATAAATGTTTTTTTTATCTCTCCAGTTCTACATTCATTATTCTTTTCTTTGTTTTATCACATTTGTGTGAATGTTTTCTTATTTTTCCTTGTAGAACAACCTGTATTCAAACCTCTCCATTCTGGGACCAAACCATGAATAATTTCTTTTATTTAACGAATTAGATTTAAATTACTAAATTGGACACACTGACTCGATGACTAAAGAAAACTATGATGTATGTGGTGACACAGATGTATAAAGTTGTATGTCACAAGTATACCACCTTAAGTTAATCTGGTCTGATGGTGCAGATGTTAAATAAAGGGAATCAGAGAATGAAACCTATTTAACCAAGTGGCAGCTTTTGTTGCTCTGAAAATAACCAAATATGACAAAGTGTTCTGGTTTAATAAAAAAGATCTGAGCCAGTTATCTGGTGTACTTTAAATTTCTCTTGTTTAAATTTCTGGTCCAACAGCATTTTAAGGCTAAAGTTTATTACACACTTACTGTACAAGAAAGAGGAAAATCTCTGTTTGTCTAAATATTTTGATTAATATAGAAAGGACCTTTGTCCATCTCTTCTGGAAATTGCTTTGCAACTAATAGGAAAAATTAGATCAATTAAATATGGAAGGATTTTTATATGGCACTTGCATTTTCTAAGATGCAACATATTAAGTCTGATTCATATTCTAACATACTCTACATGGATGCAGGGTGGGTGTGGTTACTTCACTACCTGAACCCTGTTGAATTTAAGATGGATACACGTCCACTCTGCCACCCCATAATCCACAGGATTATGGAGAAACAGAAAATGGTTGGCTATATTATATACATGGGTTCTACAAATGCAATCAAGCACCATTACAAAATATGACAGATGTAAAACTACATTTTAATTTAGGTCTAATAAATTATAGTATGTTTACTCTAAAGACTTCTCAACCTAATATTTCTTTTATGTATATAACTTAGTTCTGCCCAGTAGCACTCCTAAACTAGAGGGTAATATAATACATTAAAGTGTCACACCGCCATCTAGTGGCCACACCCATAACACATAAGAGGTGTTTAGTGAAGCAGTAAAAGAAAACTAACTTGTTCCTCTGACCCCCAACCCTTCTAATCTGAAAGTAACAAAAGTTAGTCAGTTCAAGGGACCTTTTAATCATGTAAATGTGAATATTTAATGCTGACATTTGTCTTTCTGACGTGTCCCCATGTAGGCAGTCTGTAGAAATCGGATCTATGCTTTTGCTGCTGCTCAGCTCTGACTATCAGTTTTCCAGGCACTATTTTAAACCTCACTGGCTAGACACAGACTACATACACAAGAACTCATCTTTATCTTATTCTGATAGATTGCTGCGTTAAAGGTCCAAGCTGCAATGCATGTTTTACATAGATACATTTTCAAGATTTAATATCTGTCATAATGTCCACTGCTCATGGTACAGCTTTTGCCTGATTGTAAAACAAGGTTAATATTAACTTAAAGGCAGTTGTGACTGACCTAATAAAATATTTCTCAGTTTTCCTATATTTTAGTACTATTTAATAGGTTACTTAGCTTACTAGCTAAATCACTGTCTACTATTAGTTCCAATATAAGTCATATATTTATATACATATTTATATTTAAATTTTACTATTTATATGTTAAATATGTTAGAACAACAAAAGAAAGTGTGAATCGAGCTGAAATCATGGTCAATCTGATAATTCTGCTCATGTATAGAACAAATTCACCACAACTTTAATTCAAAATATAAGTTTATTAACAAAAACCATTCAGGTTCAAGTCAAACATATTTCAGATAAAAACTTTTGACAAATCCATTGAAACTCAACTAACTACGCTACTATAGAGAACTTCAGAAAAGCCCTTTATTGTCCCACAATGGGGACATTGTTGAAAGCAAACTATGTAAACAAAGAAGAAGGAAAAACATGTTTCAAATACCATAATCAACAAAATGATGCAATTATATCACAGTTTAGCATGGATTTCATGTTTGAGAACCAAAATTTGCAAACTAACTTTTGTTCATGTAGGAAGTAGGTCTTCAAATCAGTCCTGATTTAAAGTACAGGCAGTTAGATAATGGCCTTTTTGAGTCTAGTTTTCAATTTTATCTTTGTTTTTTGTTAACTAAATTGACAAAACATGTTACATAATAAACAGCAGGAGATGACATACAGTATTAAGTCTTTACAGTAGATTTTCCTTAGTGTTTTAATATCTTTCAGGTTAAACCTGCCATCTGTTAGCAGTGGATTTAGCAGCAATAATTGAACTCATGTCACCAGTAAAAAGATACGATTGTGGGAGGAGTAAATACCGGTGCCAAGTTTGAAGTATCCTAAGTTAAGTGTTGCACCATGCACCAGAAACAGGTGGCCCTGTTATGAGCGCTCCAAGTGTTGCATGACATCAACAGTTATGGGTTTATTGCCATGAGGGGAAAGAGGAGAGAAGAGAAGACTAATGTTAGTGGTAGGTATATGTGATACAAACAGTGAGCTCAGAATAAAAAACAAAAACATGGTGGAAAAATGGATTTCTATTTTTCTATTTTATTATCTATTTTATGGTGCATTAACCACTTTGGTTATAGGCCAGAAATATGAGATATTACAGTCATTCCAAACATCCCTTGCTGATCTGGTAATGCATTCAAGGCAGGCTATGCTACCCTTGACCCAAGGGACCCTTTAAGCTAAAGTGTCGACTAAGTTTGACTTTAGCTAGATGACCTGAAATCATTTCATACAAACCTAAATTCAGTTTTCTTATTATACATGAGTTTTTGTAAGACTGCAAAGATTACAGAACCAAAAATAAAGTGCTCAGTGAAAGGAGTTGTCATTTCCAATCTGAAATATTTAGGTTTGATTCCAGGTTTCTTCTGTCACATGTAATGTGCCCCTGGGCAAAGGGTCTTAAAACAAAGTTTACTGATGTGTCAATATATGCATCAGCACAAACAAGCACACAGATATTTTATATAGTAATATAGTTAAAAAGAATTGCTTGAAGTTTTTTTTTTACTAAATAGAGGGTAGTTTTACGAAAACAACATTTTCACAGTAACACATTTATCTTATTCGAATGCTACTTTATTGTCATTATACTGTCACAAGTACAAGGAAACAAAACTAACTCTGCATTTAACCCATTGCCTGGGAAAGCAGTGGGCTGCCATTGTACGGTGCCTGGGAAGCAGTGTAAGGTTAAGGGTCTTGCACAGGGGGCCAGAGTTGCAGTCTGTGGGAGTGGGGTTTGAACTCAGAACCTCTGGAACCCAAGCACAATGCCCTAACCACTAGGCCACCACTCCCCTAGGAGCATAATTGAACTTTATTGATCTCACATTGAAGAAATTTACCTCTTTAATTTAACCCATCACCTTGTGGAGCAGTGGACTGCTACTGTGCGGCGCCAGGGGAGCAGTGTAGGGTTAAGGGTATTGCTCAGGGACCTAGAGTGCCAGCTGTGGGGATCAAACCGGGTACTTGCAACCTTCTCAGAGCACAAGTGCACTGCTCTAACCACTAGGCCATTACTCCCCTGCTTTGTTTTCTTTGCACCTACATTTTTCAGATATTGCTACAAATTCTGGACAAGATATTGTAATGCAACCATATATAATATGCAGTTTGAAAATTATATTGCTTTTATTTAGGGGAAAACGTAACTAACCCAACATGCCTTGTGGGAAAAGTTAATTGCAACCTAAGCATCCATCCATCCATCTTCTCCTGCTTCACCTTCAGGGTCGCAGTGGGGCTGGTACCTATCTTGAGCAGTCTTTGGGCAAACGATGGGTTACAGCCTGGACAGGTCGCCAGTTCATCACAGGGAAATACAGATTTAGAAGCCCCCAACTAAACCTATTAGTATGGTTGTGCAATCCTTGGAGGCATTAACTACCATTTAAAAAATATATTTACACCACTGTCAAGAAATTTTAGCTAAGTGTTTGTTGCCAAAATACATTTTTATTGCCCTTACTTCACAGATTTGAGCATGGAAAACCTGATACACTACAACTTAATTTCAAAATTTGATACATACATGTATGTAGATGCACTGATATATCAGTGATGTATATTTTGATTGTAGAGGTCTACCAGACACAATGCCTCATTTTTGCAGGACCAAAACGCACACAGGAAGTCAGGAGCAATATTATGTATAAAGGAGATGATGACAATGCACAAAAACGTACAACCAGGCTTGATGGGAGCAGGACTAGGCAGAATAGACAACATAAGAAGAGGTATGGAGTGTTGAGAATGAAGTAAATCTCAGAAGAACCAACTAATGCAATGGGAAAACCAGGCAGTCTATATACAGGGGAGAAGGTAGGAGAAAAGGCATGTTGCGGGTCAGGTGAGAGATAAACACAGTAACTGTGTAGAGAAACACAAAAACAGTGGAAATAATCTTAGAAAGAATCCTAAATGCACAAGTATACAAGAAATACCTAAGCAAAAAAGGTAAACAATGACAAGAGTAATAAAACATGATCACCAGGGGAATGAGAAAAAAAACACAGAGATCAAAGGAGCTCAAAAGCCTAACACAACAGGATCATGGCAATTTAGTAATGTTATTTTCATCTGATATTTGAATAAGTTTATTTATCTGATTGGCACACCAAATTAACTTAACCCTTTAAAAAATAGAAAATGAGACAACAAATGAGCTACACACAAGCTTTGTTTCAGAGAGGGACTCCTAAAGGTTGTCTGTTTTCTCAATGGCCATGAGACCACTGTTCTCTTTGGCTCTCCTCAAATATGCTCCTTGGGAATTTCAACTTTTGACACAAACGGCACATAATTTGCACATCCTGAACATCACATTGGGCTTGATAAAAAGCATCATTGCAGTTAAAAGGCATGCTACTGTATATTAAAACTTTGTTGTTGTTTTGTTTGTAAGAGCATTTTAGAATGACTTTGTAAGTGTTTTCCTTATCATAAAAGGGAAAATTAGGGTTCTTTTGTTGAGACTTTTTTCTCAGAAAGTTGTCTTTGATCTGCACTGTCTGGTTATCTACTAAAGAAGTATTCTAAAAATGTTATTCAACCCAATTTTAGTTTTCAAAGCTGCTGAGTCTCTGACAGGAACATGATGAGGACAACTTAAAGATCAGACAAGTGTGAAAGGCAAGCATTAAATTGTTCTCCATCTAAAGTAAGAAATTTGGCAGCTTCTTATTCCTCCATGGATTTATGTAGGAGTGCCTGACAAGAACCTCAGGGGTCAGATTAAGGTAAACTACAGCGATGCACCAAACATTCTTGCTTGTCTTCAAAAAAAACTTGTTAAAACAGGAATTTAAAAGCTGCTTTCTTTTTTTGCTAGATCGAAGATTATGAGATTTGGTTAGATGGACTCCTTTTGCAGTGTGTTAGTATTGTATACCTATAGAACAGCTGTAAATCCAACCCATGTTGGGACCTCATGGTCATCAGTTATTTGCTGCTTCCAATGACTGGACGCATCATATTGTACATTCCCCCAGAGCTTTAAAACATCATAAGAGGCTAACAAAAATGTCCTACTGATTATGAGCCTATAACATTTTTCTAGATAATAGATGCATTTGCAGCCACCTAGAAAAGGAGAGTTAATAGCCTGCTCTGCTGCCTGGAAGAAAAATTTAGTTTAGTTTAGTGTCAAGCTAATCTTTATTATAAATGACTTTTAAGTCTTCTCTGAATTACACATTTTAAGCAATTAACCAAATAATGCAAAGTACACAAAGATGTTTAATATAACTTAAACTTAATACTATGCTTAAATAGCAATAATAAAGGAGTAGAATACTTTTGTGATTCATCCGATTTGATTCAAAGAGACCAAGAAGACACTGATGGAGGGAGAAGACTGAGATGAAGTAGTGGGATGTGTAAACAGAAATGGATAGCGAAGGTGAGATTTTAGTGAAAGGCACTCAGTTATCACTAAAGCGAGACTACATAAAATTTGTTTAGTTATAAACCATATCACTTACTTTATGTCTGATGGCGTAGCATAAAAAATTTAACAAAATTCACTTTGCAATTTTTCTGATTCAAATTTTCCTAAAAAGGAACATTTCATAAATTGTATTGCTAAATAAATTACAAGCATCCTTTGTTATCTAAAGCTTGTGATACATGTTGCCCTAGGTATAAGTTATTACTAAGAGAAAGAGTGCCTGAGATTATTTGAATTTTTTTTTTATGAGTGAAGTCAAAATACAAAGATCTTAGAAAAAAATCTAAAGAGTCTTGTATTTTCCAAGCATTTTGAGACATCTTTTTAATTAAGGCTGCAAAAGAGCAAGAGAGGGAGACTTTAGTAGATAAAGAGAAGTCCCTTTGGGTACAACAAATTAAATCTGTTTCATAATTTTTGTGCTTTTAATTTAGAATTTTCTTGTAACATTTAAAATTTTAGGCACCAGTACTTGCACTCATACTCGTCAACTTCTTTATCCAGTCTCAGCAGAGACTCCCAGACTTCCTTCTGCACAGAATCCTCCTCCAGCTCTGCTGGGGGAAGCCCAAGGTGCTCCCAGGCCGACCAAGATACATAGTGCCTCAATCATGTCCTGGACTGTCCCTGGACCTTCTCCTGGTAAGACATTCCTGGAGCACCTTCTGAGGGAGGCACCAAGGAGAGTCACCTCAACTGACTCTTCTCAGTGTGGAGGAGAAACAGCTCTACTCTCCCGCATGGCTGGGCTGCCCGGAACACCCTGCCCGGAACACCCTGTAGAGAAAGCTCATTTTAGCTGAACTGAAGACATGGTCAGCATGTGGTAGGAACACTTTGTAGATGCTGGTCACTGTAGAATAAAATAATTTAACTTTATTGTCATTACATTGTCACAGGTATGAAGCAACGAAATGAAATCTCTGCATTCAACCAATCCCTTTAGGGAGCAGTGGGCTGCCATTGTTCGGCACCCGAGGAGCAGTATGGGTGTTAAAGATCTTGCTCAGGGACCCAGAGTGGCAGTCCGTGGGAGTGGGGCTTGAACCCCGAACCTCTGGGATCGAAGAGCAATGCCCTAACCAATGCCCTAACCACTCCCCCCAGAGGCCGAGTGGTTGGGGCATTGTAGAGCTGTAGAGGCTGGTCATATGACAGGAGTGGTCTATCACCCAGGTGGAAGTTACTAAGGTGGTCAAATGGCTCCATGCTGGCAAGGTTTCAGGGGTGGATGTAGTCCACCTTGACTATCTCAGCTCTTGGGTTGTTGTGAAGTTATCGTGGATGACATGTCTGTTCAATATCAAGTGGTGATTACAGACAGTACCATTGGACTCACAGAGTGAGTTGTGGTCCCCCTTCACAGCTGGGGTTAGATCACAGTATGTTCTGCAAATCTAGGGGCAATCACACTTGTCTGCCTCTATGGGGACCAACGGATTGTGTCTCTACTTTGGCAAATGGAATGGTTCTACCTGCCTCCCTCCAAAAATTCTCAAGGCACATCATATAGGAAGGAGGCTCAGACGATGGCCCAGGGCACACTGGAGGGATAATGTCTCTTGGATGGTCCTGGAATGCCTAAAGTTTCCTCAGAGAAGCTGGAGGTCTTGTCTAGAGGGAACCCTTGGAGTCTCTGCTGAGACTGCTACCCCTGTGTTCGGTCTAAACATCTAAACATAAAGATTAGAATGAGTTTTACCTTTAGAGACTCATATTCTTGTAAATATTTAAGGTTTCCTAACTTAAAGACAAAATTGTGTGCATATGCCAAATTATAGTTCTGTTTTATCATACAAAATTACTATAATTTTATACAAAAATTATTACTATATTTTTGGGTTATCTTTATTGCAACTGCAGGGTTCTGTATTTTTTCTTTTATGAGTAAAATATAAGTATTTTGGCTTTCAAACTCCTATCAAACTTAATGACCTGCAAAGTAACAGGGATACCTTAAAGCTACAGTGTGTAATTTTCAGCGACATCTAGAGGTCAGACTGCAGACCCCAGCAACATGAACATCTCCCCCCCACCGCTTCTCCCCCCCAACAGTATGGCGAGCGTTACGGGACAAAATGTCTTCCACGACGTCCACATCACCTACCTTCTCAAGTGATGAGGTTTGTTTACATAGATAATTTTACAGATAGTATTTCATTAGTCTGTGTAGGGTATAGATTTCATGTAGACTTAAGATAATAAATATACCCGTTATTTTTTCTACATCGTTGTGACGTTTTGGTGAGCTGCTTTGCATGGTGATATAAACAGACGAAGTAATTGTAGTCATTAGTTTAACAGCGAGATTGTGTTCGCTGGAAGAATATATATTCCCCGTTTACAGAGTCCAAGTCATTTTGGTGGCACGGGGGTTACAAGGCGAGGAAAAGGGAGAGGAAGAGGGCGAGGGCAGGGAGGCCGTGCAGCTAGGGCCAGGCGAGGGAGGGGAGCCAGCGGGGTGAGAGCAGAGGAGGAAAGGCTTGAAGATCTCCAAAGGAGCCGGAGAGAAGTAACCGAGGTATATATCCAGAAAATTATTTTACAGAAAATTACTGAATCATTACCTGTGAAACGTCAGGGACGTTGCTGAATAAGTATACTGGAGAGTTATTGTTTTAGACAGGTCTGAGCATCCTGTACTCCAAAAACTGCAGTGATATTAGACAATTGTGTGTGTAGGATTAATTACCTGTCCAAGAGAAAACTGGCAACTTGAGCGTCACTTTGAAAACCTTTTTCCTCCATCAGTGACTTCCATCGTGTAAATGTAAGTGCCAATGTTGATCCGTGTTTTTTGTAGTTTCTTGTCACGCTTGCGTTTATTCTCGTCGTATTTCCGCTTCTTAGATGACGGGGGTTCGGTGTCCGCCGCTTTTCGTTGTGATACAGAGTAGGCATGATCCTCCATTCGTCTGATGTTTGGCCACACAGTGCCAAACAGTTTGCAAAGTCACTCACGCCTGCCGCCTTGTTCACCTTTCTTGTTACTGAGGCGCAGTATACCTGCTTCTTCTTTTTCTTTGGTTTCAGGCAGACTAAACGCTTCTCAGGCATAATACTGCCATCTACTGTTCAGTACCGTCTCAGTTCATCTCTCTCAACTTGCCGTAGTTATTTTCGAGCGTCATGGGAGATCTCGCAATCGCTAGTTTGTTGCCTCTGCGCTTGCCGTAGCGCAAAGATGTCTGCCTCCATGGCTGCGAGACCCGCTCCTATGTAATTATAAATAACGAATTCTAAGGCAACGCAAATATTATGGTTAAAAGGCTGAGCTCATAGGTGATGATAAATAACATAGTTATGTATAATATATTACATTTCTGACTTTATATGCCTGTAATTATTACACACTGTAGCTTTAAGGAAATAAAACCTTGCAGTGGGTAAAACTGTTTATAGAAGGTACTTACACATAAACTGAGAAACTTGACCAAAACAAAACAATGACATACGATGTGAAATTAGTTGTAGTGGTCAACACGTGATTATTAATTAGGTGCTAAAATAAGAAACGAAAACGAAAAACTAAAAAGAAAGTGGTATGAAGTTGGTAGGCATCAATGTCCTTCCAGGAATATATCTACTTTTTATATTTTTGAGTTTGTTCAGTCAGATCTACCATGCTGTAAGAGCGTCCTGTGGAACACGAGCCTTAGAGGCAGAATTCTTTACATACAGTGTTTCAGATTTATGGATGCTATAGTGTGCTGCAGTCAACCTTTAATGCTAAAGCCATAAAGGTTTGAGAAACACAGTAAGACTGGCATGTACTTAAAGAAACACATTAAAGGAGGTATGCAATAATGAGTCTGCCTGTTCATAGGTATTTGGTCATATTTTTGGGTGGTTTCACTATCCTTAATGTTGGCATTAAATTATACATTGAATATTGGAATAGTACATTTTAAACCCTTTTAAAATAAGAAAGGATACTCTAGGGACAGCAGAAATATAATGGAGCAATAAAAAAGAATAACTTGGCCATTGAATATACAGTAATATGGTAAGGATTAAACTGCACCACTTGTCTAAAGGTGCTTTTAAAAGAGTCTTCCACTGTGCAGTTGTGATGATGCAAGTTGATTTGTCTGTGCAGACTTTGCTTGTAAATGCTTTAGATCAGATGTCAGATTATAATAGAAGCAACATAACCTTTCTGACTCTAGTAAAAGCAGAGCATGTGATGGGATGGGACAATGTGTGACAAGTAGAGTTCCCTGCAGTTCTTTATTTCAGTATTTCTTTAAAGCAATTGAACACTTCTATCTTCTTAAAATAATGCATCTGTTGATTTTGACTAAATGCAGTATCAGTGGTTGTAATATAGTACAAGACATAAACATGCTTCCTACTGCTGCCTTCAGCGTTGATGCTACACATGTCTTCTTCTTCTATAGTTGTTTGTCCTTTGCAAATTTACAGTCACCCGTGCAATTGCAAAGTCAAGGTAAGCTTACACACACTTTGCCCTGAATGACAAACTCCACTGCATAAATAATATTATTTCCACCCTAGTTTTTCAAATTAACATTAGCCACATAGAGGCAGCTTGCTTAAATGCTGTGTTGAAGTAATCAATAATCGATTACTGGAGGTGGATATCTAAACCAATGAATTTATAAATAAATAAAATTGCACAAAGAGGATTCTGTAATGACTGCTTTTTAAATAGAGCTAGGAAAGTAATTTTGAAAAACCATTGTCAAATGTAATATATGAAGGTTTTTAGTTTTTTAAATAAAGCAACTTTCTTTTTAGCTGAATATAATTTTTATAAATAAATCACAAAAATGTATTTGAATAACAATAAAAATTCAAGAATAATTCATACATTTTATGTTGGAGGGTATATATATTACCTTTAATTTTAATTACTGTAATTTATACCTGAACTGAAGAACCTGCAATATACCTAGACTTAAAGCACATAAGAAAACAAAGCTGAAGCTGAAAGAAGCTAATGTTAATTTATCTGTTTCAGGAGAGCAAATTATTCTTTGTAAAGTATTTAACATGATTTTCGGCCTACCCTTAATAAACTCCCTTCACCCCCACCCAGCTTCACCGCCCACTCCCCATTACAACCCCCAATGCCTTTCGAGTCATCACTAACATGAAAAAAGCCTAAATGGCTTTTGACAGTCATTGGTTCTAAGCCGAAGCAAAGCACCAAGCACTGGCTTGCAAGCTGCAGAAAGGATCTATTACAGTTTAAAAAAATAGGGGAAGACTCAGTGACCATCGTTCGTGTGAAAGAGAAGAGAGCAGGTATGTAGTTTACAAACTGAGGGCTTGTTAATAAAATTTACAGCATAAGAGAAGAAAAAGGAATACTTATGATATTTTTCAATGTTTCTTTCTGCTATTGTTAATATTAATGAAGTATATATTGTAGGGTGAATATATGTGTATAGTATTTTAGGCAACCACAATGAGATTTCAGAAAGAAATGCTTTGGTAACCTTGAAGAATAAAGCTTACTAAATATTCTGCATTTAATTTAGTATCATATTGCAGAGCATTTCAAAGCAATAATAATTAAGTAGTATAATAAATGTTCTGTAATGATCCATAAAATCACCTTATTGAGACATGCTGCCTACTCAGTATAGGATGGATAAGTTTAGTAGGATGGGAGATCTGAGATGTGAAACTGTCGGGTGATAACTAATTTTAGATGAAGGTATCAAATCAATACGTAACTCGAGATTTAGGGACCTACAATGAAGCTGCAGGCTCTAGTTTGGCATATGATCAATTTCTTTTTACATAAAAAAAAATCAGCAGAGCTCTATTTCATGTTATCTGCTCCATAAGTCTTTACCTTGAGTAGCTTAAAGTGTGTGCCATAGATAACAACAATCTTGGCAAATTGTTGTTAGTAAAAAAAAACAAAAAAACTAGGAAATGTATTAAACTTAAATAAACAAGGGGAAAAAAATAAAAGAGAGCAAATAAAAAAATAAAAAAACAATGTTTGCATTTTTTGTATTTGGGATGAAGAAAATATCTGACAACAAGCTGTATAGAGCAATACAAATTCAATGTGAAGTTCATTAAAGACCATAGGTGCTCTTTTGTCATAAGAGGTCTTACCATCAAGCCACGTTTTATGTTAGTGACATGGCTAAAGACACTTTCCGTCTTGTTCGCTGTGCAGCTATTGCTGACGTGTTGAAAAAAGCTTTGAGTGATATTTGAGAAAGTACTGGATGCCATTTTCAGAGTAGACGGTCAGTGGTGCAGAAGTGCTGAAGTGTGTAGGAGATAGATGTCACGTACTGCTAATATATTAAGTTTGTTCTGAATATGTGTTGTGCAATGACTTCATCTAAGAACATTAACCACAAATACTTATCTTTGAACTATTTATGTGATAACATTAAATAATAAAGTACATACAAATAACTAACAGGAAAAAGTAACACTTGACAATTCATACCCACCAACGCTGTTAGATTACCTTCTGACATTATGACAGGATGTGCAGAGTTTCATCAAAAATGTTATGAATTAATTTTCTGATACATCAAAGCAGCTGCTGAAATAAGTATTGTGTTTCTAAAATGCTCAGTTCAATTCAATTTTACTTGTTACTAAAATACAAATGCCACAAGGCACTTTGCAGATCAAACAAATATTCTTTATATACATAAATACCTAGAAATTTGGTAAGAAACTGCATCTATATGCAATTCCATACCTTATGTGTACAATCCAAATTTATAACCCATATTCATGTTTCTCTACATTTTTCTGTCTGTTATTTATTTATTTTTTATTTTATTTCTTCTGTTCTTGAACTAACTTACTAGTTTGCATGTCATTCATGAGCAGAGCACACGTTGCAAGGTAAACAACATTTAGAGGCACACAACCTACCACTGAGATAGTGCACATCCATCTCAGTGGGGGCGGCGCAATTGCGTCACTGTTTGTGTGTGCACCCCTGTGCCCTGTTCAATCCGTCAAGGATTAGCCTAGCTTTAGGCATGAATTTGGCAACAGTAGAAAACAAGATTCAAGAAGATTACAGGAAGCAACCTCATGCATCTGTGCCAGTCAACTAAAGGGTTTAATAAGACATAGCAGAGACTCAAAAATAACTAAGAAGCATTGGTACATGAGTACTTTTTTAATTTCTTTTATCTTTTATTTCCTAGTCAAAACTTAATGACCACAGCCGCTTCTTTAATGACCCCATCTAGGTGAGAAACACATTCAAACATAGGCTCAGAGCCAAAGTTAAAGGTAAAATCAACCACCGCAAGTTGTGCGACGGCAGTGTCTAACTCTCCCGTCGATATGGTAAAGCCGTCCGGAGCACCAGGACCAGGCTACACATGATACACATTAGTCAACGAGCTGTGTTAGTCAGGTTTGGAGCTGCGAGCCACTTTTAGACACAGTGGGCAAACCTGTGGCAACTCGGGGGGTGGGAAAGAAGGAGAAGACGATGAGAAAAAGAAAGCAGAGAAAGTCTGGACTGCTGAAAGAACTGCGGTGAACTAGTGTAAGAAAAGTGAAATGGCGTGCTCAAAGATGACCCTGCACATTTTGAGTATGCTGTAAAGCAGGATTCCCCACCATGGACATAATCAAAAATAAATATCGATCCAGGCTCAAAATTATCACCTTGATATGTGCTTTAGAATGGCTTTGTCTCCATTCAAACCCAGGTTTAAAAGCCTTGCAGGGCAGCCTAAAGCCCACTTCTTTCTTTAAGCCATAAAAAAAAAATAAAATAAATAAACAAACCGTCGGTTCAGGTGTTTTGTAAAATATGTGAATCAGGAAATAGTCTATATACCGAACTGAAAGAATGTTCAAAAAACACTTAAGATTTTAAAATGGAAAAATTTTCTATTTTTCTTTACACTTTCTTATTTAAAAAAATCAATGTAAAACATTCATGCATAAAAACCTGCTTTTTATTTCAGGTGTTAAATTCTGCTGGACTTTTGAATTAGCTGTGAAATCAAATTTTTACACCCCTTGGCCACAGTGAAAATCAGGGTAGTTTATTTATTTTATTAAATAGTTTTTAAAAGTTTTAATGTTTTTGCTGTGTCTTTAAGGCTGGACCAGGATCTGGGCTTAACATACAGCTGCCTGCAAATACTTCATTGAAAAAGAATTTAGATCATGCTGTGACCAACACTTACTGTAAATAACACTTGCTGCTGCCTCTTACTGACAAATATAGTTAACTGCACTTAGTGGGAAGGAGTGGCAAACCTTCTGAACAATATATAAACTCTCAAAAATGATTGACATTTCTGTTAGAATGTCTTAGAATGTGCTTATATTTTCGAATCGAATTTCTTAATAATAAAATACAAGCTCCTCAATTCCCAGAGAGAATAATAATGTATAATAATGTCTTTTATTCAGAGCCAGCTGAATCTGCTTATCTCAAGAAGTAATAAAGATGTGGAAGAAGACAAAGGTGGCCGATGAAACTGCCACTGGGCAGGCAGGTAAGTGCAGAAACCAATGAAAGGTTGGTATTCCAGCTGCCTCTTCCTGTATCTTCTTTTATCGCAGAAATGCTGTGGATCAACAAGACTCAACTTAGTAATACTTCATGACTAAACTTTAAAGAATCATTTAGGGCTACAACCAAGAATCAAAAATGTACAGTACAAGACATGATAACACCAAATAAAACAGCGAGAATAATGAAGACAATGTCAGTTTTGATCAAATGCGAAAAGGTCTATGAAGATGTGAAGAACTAGAAGTATTAATGTTGGAAAACACTGATCAATCCTGATATGAATAAACCAAGAACAACACAAAGCAACAGATGGAGGCATCCCAAGAATCGGTGACGACTTATTTGCTAACCCTAACCCTTTTAAATGCTGCAAAGGGTTCCCGCCAAAAAAGCTGCCCTGGTGAAAGCTCTTCTCTGGTTAGGATACCTTTCTCTCCCAAAAGACCAGAAACATGAAACGTTGGTCAAAGAACCTTTAGGAGGCATCACACAAGATGAAGTCAAAGCAAGCTGTAATCACAGAGAAAAACTTTAGAGGATACATCTCATGTCCCTGATGAAATGTGAAAGGAATGATTATCGATCGGTCCAACACCTGATCCGATGGCAAAAGGAACGTCAACGCATCATACTTGTGAGGCTTTCAAATATGCACAGGATTTAAACAATTGTAAAATTGATTTTCTTACAACCTCTTTTCTCCAAGTCCTACCTGAATTTACCTCAAGCACCACGCAGGAATCATGCTGAGAAGTCTGCCATGTGAAAATGTGTAAGCAAGCTTTGTGTTGAGTCTTATCAACAGTTGCACTGCACAACTGTTTGTTCATACGTTGCTGAAACACCATATGCTAACAGGCTATAATATCTTGAGTCTATGACTAACAGTTTTTGTAGTGTTGTCAATGTCTTCATATTCTAGTCTGCAGCTCCTCTATGTTGTGTTTGTCTACCCACTCATGGGTTTCAGACTGTATATTGTGTGGTCCTTTGTGTTTCTTATATGTCCACGATCCTGTCAAAGTTCCAACCTACCATGGTGCTTGTGTCAGGATTTATATTTACCTGTCCTGTGCCCTCTCCTTCTGTCATATTGCGTGTTAAATCGGCGAATCTGAGGGAGTTCACCAGGATGACAAAGGTATGCAAGAAAAAAGGAAATCAAATTACAAATGATTCATTTTCAACATGCATGATGCCGTGCTGGGTTTAGCTGCATGAACAATGACATCTTCATCATCCTCATCATCACTGCCATCATCCTTGAAAGGTGTTCCCCGACAAGGGATGACACACCTTTCTGGTGCACAATGAATGCGTTTTCATTGTGACTTTTCATCAACCTCCATACTGTGTGTAAAAATGCGACAATGCTGTTGCAAGAGGGCACTGTGAATGATTGTCTGTTATCCATCTTAGTTTATGTGTCAATGGGAAAATGCCACTTTTAACTGACAACTTTAAATCCAGATCAGTCCTGTAAAATAATGCTGCCATACCTAAATCTCAAACCATGAACCTGTTTTGTAGGAAAGCACAACCTAGCATGACGTTTTTCTGGAAGAAAAAGCTAAGCAAAAAAAAAAAAGCTACTTTTATGCATTTTAATCTCAGAATAGTCATTCATCTAAACTTTGGTTCACAAACATTATAATCGGCAGTGTACAAAGAAACAAAACTATTAGCAACCAGTGTTTTTTTAAGAGTAAAAAGTATCAGTTTGCAGATTATTTGCGGTTTTCATGCGTTTCGTCATATAACTCTCATGGAGTCACAGTTTTTATGGTGCACAGCAGAACCATGTACAGTCATTCTTTTCTCTCCCTATATATTGTGGGCTTATGGCAACCAGCTTAAATGATATGTATGACATATGCAAGCTCTAAAGCCTCATCTATAATACCCTTTAAAATAATCAAATAATCAGTACTCCTCCTTTTTCTTCAAATTCTGTCATGTTACATCCTTCAATGTACACTATATTGCCAAAAGTATTTGCTCACCCATCCAAATTATTGGAATCAGGTGTTCCAATCACTTCCATGGCCACAGGTGTATAAATTCAAGCACCTAGGCATGCAGACTGTTTTTACAAACATTTGTGAAAGAATGGGTCGCTCTCAGGAGCTCAGTGAATTCCAGCGTGGAACTGTGATAGGATGCCACCTGTGCAACAAATCCAGTCGTGAAATTTCCTCGCTCCTAAATATTCCACAGTCAACTGTCAGCTGTATTATAAGAAAATGGAAGTGTTTGGGAACGACAGCAACTCAGCCACGAAGTGGTAGGCCACGTAAACTGACGGAGCGGGGTCAGCGGATGCTGACGCGCATAGTGCGAAGAGGTCGCCAACTTTCTGCAGAGTCAATCACTACAGACCTCCAAACTTCATGTGGCCTTCAGATTAGCTCAAGAACAGTGCGCAGAGAGCTTCATGGAATGGGTTTCCATGGTCGAGCAGCTGCATCCAAGCCATACATCACCAAGTGCAATGCAAAGCGTCGGATGCGGTGGTGTAAAGCACGCCGCCACTGGACTCTAGAGCAGTGGAGACGCGTTCTCTGGAGTGACGAATCGCGCTTCTCCATCTGGCAATCTGATGGACGGGTCTGGGTTTGGCGGTTGCCAGGAGAACGGTACTTGTCTGACTGCATTGTGCCAAGTGTAAAGTTTGTTGGAGGGGGGATTATGGTGTGGGGTTGTTTTTCAGGAGCTGGGCTTGGCCCCTTAGTTCCAGTGAAAGGAACTCTGAATGCTTCAGCATACCAAGACATTTTGGACAATTCCATGCTCCCAACTTTGTGGGAACAGTTTGGAGCTGGCCCCTTCCTCTTCCAACATGACTGTGCACCAGTGCACAAAGCAAGGTCCATAAAGACATGGATGACAGAGTCTGGTGTGGATGAACTTGACTGGCCTGCACAGAGTCCTGACCTCAACCCGATAGAACACCTTTGGGATGAATTAGAGCGGAGACTGAGAGCCAGGCCTTCTCGTCCAACATCAGTGTGCGACCTCACAAATGCGCTTCTGGAAGAATGGTCAAAAATTCCCATAAACACACTCCTAAACCTTGTGGACAGCCTTCCCAGAAGAGTTGAAGCTGTTCTAGCTGCAAAGGGTGGACCGACGTCATATTGAACCCTATGGATTAGGAACGGGATGTCACTTAAGCTCATATGTGAGTCAAGGCAGGTGAGCAAATACTTTTGGCAATATAGTGTATATTATATGGATTTATGACAGGAGAAGTAAAATTATGACAAACTGATGATATGGAAGCAGAGTCACTCATTTGTTTGAAATGAAATCTGAATTGTGTTGTGAATTTGTATTCAGACCCGTTCACTCTAGTACCTCAAATTAACATTCAGTCCAATTAAGTGCTTTGGAATTCACTTAAGTGTAATTACAGAGATAGGTCAGGTTAATGTAAGACTTGTTTTAGAATTAGAAAAGGTTGTCTGACTCACAGCCAAAATAATGGGAGCTAGTTGTATGAGAGAGGCTACTGATCACTAAAAGATATGCCCATGCATTCCGTGTTTTGAAACTTTAGAATGAACTTGCAGTTTTGTAGCAAAGGCTCTATTAGATAGATATTGAAGTTAGATGTTTTATATATGATGTTTCCTGACTGTTTAGGTCTTTATATGTAGGAAGGAGAATTATACTGTGGATTTAAATAGGAACCAAAGTAGAGAAACTAAAATGTTCAAAAATGTTACTGACAAATGACATTAATGCCTACTTACTCATTCTAAATTATTTCAATAATTATTTTAAGGAAGCATCTTGGACTTAAATTAGCTGTGATTTTAGGGTGTTATTGTTGAGCGTTATATTTGCTCATTTGTAAAAATGTTTTAGTGCAATGTATAGATTAGCAGAATTGTTTAAAGGATGTTTGTTACGTTTTCAAGGATTTTTCTACTCATGAAACTATAGAATGTGTGGACAAGAGCAAAACAATGGAATCAAACATTTGTCATCTATAAAACTCAATATTTTGGCGACCTATATAAACTCCCCTGATGCTTAATGTAAACACTGTTAATGTAACATTTCAGAAAATGATTAAAACAGCATGTTGTAGGTGCTATGAGGAATCAGGGTAAAGTGAAATAAAAAAAGAAAAAGAAAGAAGCTGTGAGAAGAGCTAAATTAAGCTGCTTTTTTATTATGGTTAAAGGAGTGGTGAGATTGCAAAAAAAATTATGCATATAAGAACAAATTTGGCTCGGTCAAACCATGTCAACATTACAATTGTTTTCGTATTAGAGATGGCAGAAACAAAAGAACTAGTTAGGCTAAAAAAATGAGGTAAAAAAAATGAGGCAAATAGTGTGAAAACTTTTTCAGGGCGAGTTTTGGAATGATATGTTTTGGTTGCAGTTTTATCTGCTGTAGTGGCATTTTCCTATAAATATCATACTCTCTGTTTAAATAACATATGTCTTATATTTAGGCCCCCTTCACACCAGATTAAAACTGCACAATAGCATAAAAACTCACAGGGTCTGGGAGAGTTCTTCTGTTGAATATTAAAAGCAAAATGAGCTCACTGTTATGCATTATATCACATACTGTAAGAGTTACTTAAATGTTCTGAAATTCCACACAACTTCAGAAGGGGAGTTGTGGTTTGTTATTGTAAGGCCGTGGAGGAGTGGAGTGGCACTAGTTGCATTATAACTATTCTTTGAGCCTGACACATCTGCAGGCTTTTTCATCAGATAATTTATATCTGGACTAGCAATGCTGATGTCATGATTCTCAAGGCTAAAGCATCCTGCTGATGCTTCTTGCACAAGTAAATCAGCAAATGCTTGGCTCCTATCTGGAGAAGCACTGAATGTTAGGTAGAAGATTGTACACCTCCAAAGTGTCCCCATGTGGTGCTGATTTAAGAGTGAAGGAAGACAGTGTGTGCATCATTTTAAAGCTTTATAGTGTAATTTGAGAATAGAATAGAATAGAATAGAATAGAATAGAATAGAATAGTCACGGTGAGACTCATTCCTAACCTATGACTTAGGTAGCTTGTCCATATTGGTTCACAATGACTAGTAAAATATACAGCACTGAGATATTGGATGTTGTGTATATGGTTCCTTCCAAATGCACCATCAAAATATCCTCTTTGTAGTCTGGATGGAAACCTTATTGGTGCACAGCGGTCTGCATGAAAAATGCTACAATTACTAAATGTGTTTGGTGCTTTACAGTAAGGCTGAGACTGGTGCTGGAGACCGAGAAAACCCTGCATGTATATAGGGGAGCTGGAAAATTGGTGACAAGTCAAGGACAGTTCTTTATGGAGCTGTGATTCTCTTGGCAGTAGCACTGTGGTAGCATGGCCAGCAAAGCAGAATAAATAAATAAAATTAAGCTTAAAAGTCCTGGACAAACTATGTTTGCTGTTGTGACTAGCTTCAGACTAAATTATTTTCTAATTTGTTCGCCATCTAGTTAAGCTTGAACTGTTGTTCTTCCAGACCACCCAGCGGTAGTAACCTGGTGTGAGCAGGCCCCTATAAATACAAACTTATTTTGTGTTGTCAATTGTTTGTTTTCAACATAAATGCAATTTCAAGGTATTCTAATAACCTTCATTGTTAAGACATATACATAAATTGATCAATTCTGCCAAGCTTAAAGTAAATGAAAATCATTTTTGGCTTATTTTTAACTATGCACTTACCTTTGGTTTTGCTACACAGTCTTTGTAAGCATTACCTGTTGTCTTGGTAATACTCAATTTAATTAACAACAATTTTGTTGGATTCATTTAGGCATCAAGAAGAAATCCAAAGTGCCTGGTGTTATGATTACGCAGTTTATTGAAGAACTCCCTGAAGGAAAAACAACTCCAGATTTCACTCGGAAACCCATAGCCCTTACTATCCAAGAGGGTATGTGTCACAAGCTGTTCCATTTTGAGTCAAGTTTGACTCATTTAAGTGTCGTATTTTATCTTGTTCATGTTCCTAATGTGATTTTTTTTTTTTATCAGTGCTTGAGTTTCCTGCTGCTCTATAGTTGCATCTTCCATTTTGCTCATTTACGTACCTGAATAGCATCCAGTCATCATACTCCCCATTATAAAGTTTTTTTTTAGCTCAGGTTATCCATGTCAGGTACTTTGTTGTTCTCTTTGCTTTTGTCATTAAATCGTCTTTTTCAGATACGTATTTCTGGAGATATAATCTGTTCTTTAATCTTATACACTAATTATTTGGAAGTCAGTAAAATGGTTAAGGACAGAAAACATGCACTAAAGAATTCTAAATCGGGTTACTCTAGTTTTTAAAAAAAAATCATCAAACCTAGAACATGAGCATCTTCTCTGAGAACTAGGAATTTTTATATTTTATTTAATTCAACAAAATGTATTTCCATCAGCTAAAAACAACAATTCACTTAGCAGATAGAGCCAAGTAAAAACCCTTATTACAAAGAAGAAATAATTGGAGGAGGAAAATATACATTTAGGAAAAGTGACAATGTAATCGCTGTGTAAAAGAATAATTACACAAGTGAATAATTTTTACAGATTACTTAAATATTCAATTTGGTACATTCCCAGGGTTACTCATTTACAGCTTTCATTTTGTCTTTTATACTTCCTCACATCTTGTAGCTTCTAAAATCTTTGACAACACCAGAATACATGGTTTGTTTTTTGAAGCACCGCCTTTAATTCTCATTGCAGCATAATACCTGAGAGTATCTTGCCACTAGATAAAAAGCACTTTTAGAAGTTCAGGAAAAACTTGTCAGAAGGTTTCACCTTGCCAAGAGGCATGACTCAGGAAAAAGTGGTGTTTTAAAAGCAGGTTTTTCCTTGTTTTTCAAAGAAACTGCTCAGACAAACCACAACAATGAGAATAATAAAGAAAAAAAAGTTTTTCTAATAGTTTTTTTTTTCTTCTGTTTCTCAAAAAGGTCATGTTTTCTGTCTCTTGTGTAGCTCAAATAAAGATATGTTCTCTACTAATGAAAATATGTGTATTTCATAAGTGAATGTTTTATCATTGAATGTTTTCTTGTATTAGGCAATGACTTTTTTCAATATTTAAGTTTGAATTTCAAAAATATTTTATTTTTTACTTGTTGGAAATAGATCCCTTTGTTTTGCTCTGATATATACAGTTAGATTAGTGCTTTAGAGCAGTGATTCCCAACTGGGGTTACTCTTACCTCTAGTGGTCCGTGAGTGCATTGCAAGGGGTAAATATTTCTTTGATAGTAAATAAAATAGGGCTTTGATCTATTTTATTATTAATTATTATTTTATTTTATTATTTGTGTGAGGACCCAGTTGAAAGAAAAAAGTTTTTTTATGTTTGAGTTGACCTTCAGCTGTGACACACATAAAAAACAAGCAGAGGAACAGACTAGATGTATAGAGCAGCCTGGTATCAGCTGTTTTTCACACTGAGCTATAGGAGCACATCAAAACAGCTCAGTCTTGATGAAAAAAAAGGAAAACTAATTAAGTCAGTCTGACTCTAATTTTTGTTCTGTATTTGGTTCCTAATTCATCAAGTTTAAATATGTTAGGGATGCAACTAACGATTATTTTGCAAATCGATTAATCTTTTAATTCATATTTTTTTGATTAATAACGAATATTGACAGATGAAAAAGTAATTTTTTTATCTTAAAGCAAATGTTTACATATATATATATATATATATTTATTTATTTATTTATTTATATATATATATTTCAAATTCTGGTATAATTGCTGTTCAAGGTGGAGCTAAAAGGCATAATTTAGAATCTTAACACTGTAGTTAACGATTATTTGATTACTAAAATAGTTGACAGTTTTTTCAATAATAAATTAATGTGATTAATTGTTTAAGCTCTCAAGTTACTCAGAGGAGCTCCAGTTTTATAAGTCCAGATTTATAGTATGATTGTAATTTGTATTTATATCAATTCCTTACTAACTTCCAAGCAACATTTTTATGTGTTTTCTCTTTTATTTGCAATTGAAAGCATAAAATGCCTAAGATAAATAAAAGATTAAGTAAACCTCGCTGGTGAAGATTCTTAGACATCCAGGTAATAGTAATTCCAAAAAAGTAAAAAAAACAAACAAACAAACAAAAACAAAAAAAAACAATCCACTGGACTTAGTTTCCAATTTTGAAGATGTTTTAATTCCCATCCAGGAAATGTTTTTTTTTTTTTTAAATGTCAGAATTATTAAGTTCGAGGCTTTGTAAGTAAAATGTTTTTTAATTTATAATTAGTTATTGTAGGTTCCAATTTTGGACAATCATCATTACTTTTGACTGAGAAGGGAACTCATGGTAAGAAAAAATGCCCAAAGGGTTACACAAGTCAAAAAAGGTGGGGATCCACTGCTTTTTTTTTTTTTTTGCTTTAGAGTGCTCAATCATTTACATCACCAGGGTTTCAAAACATCAAACAGATCAGTTCATAAAATAAACTTGAACTGATATATGTTCATATAACAGGCATGTGTGTTAAAACTGTTCAAAACAAGTAGCGCCACATGCGCAGGATCTTTCGTCTGCCAAATCGAAACCCCCATAGAACGAAAAGTAATTATTTTCCATGAAACATTATTTGCTTTATTTAAAGGATTCATGTATATTAAGTCTTTTTCTTAGTTTCCTCTCGATTTGAATGTGAATAAAATATGAAAACATATATGTTAAACTTTACTGTTGCTAATTAAAAATCTGTGTTTACAGGCAAATTTGGATTCTTTAAAGCCATTGTGACGGGTGATCCAACACCTACTGTAACATGGAGCAGAGCAAAGGGAGAAATCATTTTTCACCCTGATGTGTGCCTGCAAAGATATGATGAGGCATCCAATGAACATTTCCTTGAGGTAGGTTTAAAAAGACAAAAGAAATGTAAATTTTACTCATCCTCAACATATAAAAAGTTTTAAATAAAACATGGCATTTAGTATAGCAAATAAAGAACTAAAGTTGTATCTCCTCTATTTACCTTTCTACTAGTTCCCTAAGGTAACTCCAGAGGATGCTGACACCTACAAGTGTTTTGCAACTAATGAATATGGGAGAGCAGTTTGCACAGCTGTTCTGAATGTTATTGAGGGTATGATCTTCTTACTGGTGTGGAAAACTGCAGTTTATGATTGTGACAAAGGTATATTTGCATAATACTTAAACATTGTTTGTTCACAGTGGGATTTTCTAAGGCAAAGGAACTCCAAAAGGTACAAGGAGAAGGTACATTTTCAAATTCAGAGAAACTTTAGCACTCCTTATAAAGATCTATTAAAAGTAATGGAATAGTTGAATGAATAAACGGTTAGAAAATGTATTTAGGATTTTTTATTTACTTCTGTCACGTTTACAGTAGCTTTTACAAATCCTATAAATGTGAGTGAAGTATTTTGTACTTTTACACAGTAATGTGTTCCTGGAATATTAGTCCTGGCAAAGAGTCAGATTTCTATTAGAAACTGCTAAGAAAGGAGAACATGATATATTTGCAGGAGAATATTAAAGGAAATGGCAACAAGCAAATGCCTGCCTACATAAAATAAACTTCCTATATCTACAGTTAGAACAATACTTAAAATGTTTAATTGGAACTTTAACTCTATTCAGCATCAGTTTAATGTTTTCCTTTTTTGTCATGTTTCCTTAGATGCCACAGAGTTCAGAAAAAAACTTAAAACACGGTAACTAAAACATGATATCACTAAAGAATCATTTTCAGCATATTTTTTTTCCTTTTAGTGGAGCTTTACAAAATAAACATTTCACTCTGTAGCAATCCAGATGGAACGCGCGAGGAAAAGACAATGGATGATAAGGAAAAGGTCTGGGAAATCCTCCTTAGTGCCGATAAAAAAGATTATGAGAAAATCTGTTTTGACTATGGCATCAGCGACTTTCGTGGAATGCTGAAGAAACTGACTGAAATGAAAAAAGAGCGAGAGGAGGAGATTGCACAGGTACATTACCTGTTTATTCTTGTTTTCAGTAATTGTGTTGCTATATATATATATATATATATATATATATATATATATATATATATATATATATATATATATATATATATATATATGTATATATGTATATATGTATATATGTATATATGTATATATATATATATGTATATGTATATATATATATATATATGTATATATATATATATATATATGTGTGTGTATATACTTGTATTTCATATTTTATTCACTGTTTGATAATTATCTATTTACTCTTTTACCCATTAATGTTTTTCCACAGTTCATCTCACATATCAGAACACTCAAACCTGTTGAGGTCAAAGACAATGACAGTGCAACAATTGAATTGGATATGGACCTCTTGGATTCAGGCAGCAAAATCTACTTATATAAGGTAAGGCATAAAAAAACAAACATGTTTTTCAGGGATGGTTGTTTTAAAGTGTTCTGGTAAGCAAAAGCATGATCTGTCTGCAGGATGGTGTTATGGTGCCATTCTCAAAAGAAGAGGGTGAAGAAATTAAACATAATTTGAAACAAGTTGGCAAAAAATATGTGTTCACAATTAAAAACCTAAGTAAAGAAGATGCTGGGCTCTACTCAGTGGATGTTGAGGGAGTGAATGTGTTTTCTACTGATTTTAAAGGTAAGAGTTTATGTTTAAGGCTAGTTTAAAAGACTTGTCTTTATGCAAGTCCATTTCTGTCTATTTTTATAGTAATAATTTACCACAAAACAAACAGATGTAGTTTATGTTTAGAAATGCATTATAGTTTAATTTCATTATATATATTTGCTTCAGTATCAGTAAAGTAATTTTGATCAGTTGATCATATTAAATAGTTAACTTTTCAGCATTTCCTTATACTGATCATATATTTCACAACAGTGGAACGAAAAACGGACCATTTAAAAGGGCCTAGTACTATGACTTAACAAATTCATATGCCATTAGTTTACTCTGGTTCATAAAAAGGCTTTCCAATTAAATTTTGTCATCCTGATGGCTTAATATATTTCATGTCTGTGCTTAACATTTTTGTTTTGCTCCAGTTGTTGATAAACTTAAGCTTTTTCAGTATTTACCAGAAAAGGATCATGTAACAGAAGATAAGATATTGTGCGTGCGCACAATGACTAAAAAAGGAAGTGATGGGTTCAAGCAAGTCAGCCGTTTCCCAGCATTGGTGTGAAAAGAAAAAGTTCAAATCTGAGCTCAACTGTGAAAAAGCTAAAAAAAAAATAAAAATGCTAAGAAGGATAAGTCTCGGGAAACGCTTGGATAATGACAAAATGAGCATTGGAGTTTACTTTGGAAGTGGAGGCTAGTTTATGGATGTAAGTACGGCCAGCAGATGGTGACTCTATATAACCGGGTTTATGTCTACCGATCACACCCAGTGCAAAAATTATCTTTCGGAAAAAAGGGCTAAGTAAACACTATCAGGACAAATATATTGATTTATGTTTAGATAAACATATGGTTAGACAAATGGGAAAGTGCATAGAAGTAATGACAAGAATATGTATTTATTTAGTTTTTCTCTCTATACCCTACAGTCCCTGAAGTTGACTTTGCAGTCAAAATTCAAGAGGTCAAAGCAGAAGAACGAGAGGATGCTCTCTTTCAATGTGTCCTCACAGCTCCAATGAGTGAGATCAAATGGTATGGCAAAAGTGCTCTGCTTACAAATAATGAGAAGCATGAGATAACTGTATCTGAGGACAAACTCATCCATAAGTTGATTGTGCGGGACTGTCTACCTTTGGATGCTGGTATCTATGCTGCTGTGGCAGGAATCAAGTCTTGCAATGCCTGGCTTGTGGTTGAAGGTGAGAAAAAAAATATTGTTTATGTTCCACTTTTGAAGAGGTAGACAATAAACACTAAGCCAACTTAACTTTTCACAGTTCAAAAATATTTAAATTATGAATTTGTTTTTTTGTTGTTGTTTTACAGCTGATAAAGACCCAGCCAAAAAGGCCAAAAAGGGAGCACGCAAAACCACCATCGCTGGAGCTGGCAATGATGAAGAACTGATGAAAATAGCAAAAGAACAACAGGCGAGATATCAGAAAGAAATGGAGGAAAAGATTGAACTTGCCAAAAAAGCCCAAGCAGAGAAAGAATTGGCAGATGCAGCTGCCAAAGCGCAGCAAGAGGCAGAGGCTGAGGCCAAAGCTGCTGCAAAAGCTGCTGCAAAGGCAAAGAGAGCAGCAGCTGGGAAAGATGGGGCTGCTAGAAAAACAAAAAAAAAGGGATCTGCCAAAGATGGCGCCACAGGAGGAGCAGCAGGTGCTGGTGCAGGTAGTGCTGCAGGTGGAGCCGGAGCTGGTTCTGCAGGTGGAGCAGCAGCTGGTTCTGCATCTGGTGCTAGTGGTGCTACAGCTGGGGCTGCTGCAGGTGGAGCGGGTGGTGCAGGTGCAGCGGGTGGTGCTGCAGGTGGAGCCGGTGCAGCAGGTGGTGCTGCAGGTGGAGCCGGTGCAGCGGGTGGTGCTGGAGCAGCAGGTGGTGCTGGTGCCGCAGGTAGTGCTGGTGGGGTTGGTGGTGCTCAAGGTGGTGCTGCAGGGAGTGCAGGCGGGAGTGGGAGCGGTGCTGCAGCTGGCACTACGGGTGGGGCTGGAATCGTTGAGGGTGAAGATTTTGAGGAATATTCTGAGGACGAATATGAGGATGATTCATTTGAAGATTCCGATGAGGACATTGCAGGGGAAGGAAAGGGAAGGAAAAAGAGAGGGGACGGAGGAAAGACAGGTGGGGAAGGCGAAGGAGAAGAGGAAGGAGACGAAGGAGAAGGAGGAGAAAAAGGAGGGAAACGGAAGAAACGAGTAAGAGCTGGCCCATTGGTTCCTGAAACTGTTATAGGTAAGAAATTGTATTCAAGTCAGTTTACTTCATTTATATTGCATCATTTCACAAAATATGTAATCTCAAGGCCTTCTATAAAGATAATTTTATTAAATCATACAGAAAGATTAGTAAAGATTATTAAACTTTTCCTTTTAATAAATCCAGCTGATTGCATCCCGTCATTGACTTTACAGAATTTGCTCCTCGATGAGCATAAAGTAACAGTAGACATATGCTTGTCAGTGCACTGAAACAGTGGATAATTCTTAAGGTTTATTTTGACACGGCACAAAATGTATAAATATAGAAAAATTATTCCATATTTTGAAGAATTTTAGAAAATCCAGAAAAAAGTAAGCACTTCCAAAAATGTAAATGAAGCTAAAAGTTATTTTATAAATCATCTAAAAATTCTACAAAGACTTTTCACAAAGTCCCAGTCATTTTAAATAACAGTTAATCTGAAATTATTATTAGTAATTTTAAACATTTCTAAATTAAGACAATAACATTTAGTTCATGCAACATTGTCAAGATTATTCTGTTAACACTTTTTCAGAACTCTTTACTCCTTAGCTAATGCTACAATTGGCCCCCAGTTCACAAAGTTGTCCATAAATATATAAGCATATCTCATAAAGGATAAGGTTTGCAATTGATATCTGACATAAATACTTAAAATATAGAAAATTACATTTTTTTATGTGAAAATGTGCAAAAGATGGAAAATACAGAAGCACTGACATAATGGACGGCAGCAATGTAAATTTGTTGTTCCAAGAGCACAAGATGTGTAAATTCCTCCTTTTCTTATGTGAAATCACATAAATATGGAGCAAAAACATCCCAAAATTCATTTTAAAAGAGATTCATTGAATTAATGAGTGGAATAAAATGTACAATTCAGAATTCACAGAGAGTAATAATGTGCCGTTACTACAGAACATACTGTATATGTACAGTAGTTATGTTTTTTTTAAACTTTTACTTAATGTAAATACATTTGAATTCCAACAAAACATACAAAAACATCTACCTGCAACGCTTGTTTTACTTTTATATTTTTTCTACTGCTGTTTTCCCTCTAGTTATGCATATTCCAACATTTAATATGTGTTTTTTTTTCACAAATGTAATTTGTTAGGCCAGCGTAACAGCTAATAAAATTCTGGCTTGATGTTATTTGCGACGATATCCAGTAAAATGAAAAGCCAAAAACTGTTGCGGAAGATATGCCCAAAGTGAGAGCTGCAATAGGCAAGCAGCAAGCTGTGATGGTGAGGGTGCAGATGAAGGTGAGCCAACAGCAGCTGGCAAATATTCAAGCCTTGTATGGCATATCCCGTTGATCGAGCAGAGAGTTAGCGGTAAGATTGTTGGACAATGCATTCATTGTTGCATGGGAGATGTCATCACTGGATAAGATTATTTAATAAATTTGGGAAAATTCCAGCAATGACTGCGTTAAACATGAAGGTTTGTAATCACAGATGAAAAATTTAGTTGCTTCTTAGTAATGAATGTGCTGATGAAACTAAAATAGCAAAAAGTGACTTTAATATAACATGACTGTGGCTGCAACAAATGCCAAATAGATTCATTTTTAATTCATATCTGGAACGTTTGATGCATATTGAATATATATATTCCTCATGCCTGTGAACATCAGAGATCAATTAGTTATTAACTGTGTTTCTTTGACCTGCAGGTTGGACATCAGCAGAAAAATCCTGTGTTTGTCGCAACGTTTTATTGTGGAAAATGTGGATGCTTTTGTCCCTTGTATGCCTCTGTGTTAACATTCCTGCTTGGTGTTTTAAAAAGTTCATTCAGGCAGAGCTGGTGCACTGAGATAAATCATTTTAACACAGAGCATTAAAAAGATTGGGCTGGATAATTCCACTGAAGCACTCAGTGCCTGCTAAGATATGACATGATAGAAAGATTAAGGATGAGATGAGCCGACCTGTTGAATTGTCCAGAAATCTATGCTTCTTCTTTTTTAAATTCACTGAAGACAAACTAAAATTCTTCAAATGAAGAAAGAACCTTCCGTACTACCATTTCATTTTGTACAACATTCAAGACAATGTAAATGGAGGAAAATAAGATACTGAAGAGTTTCTTTTATATTTTTTAGAATTCAAATTATCAAAAAAAGGAAAATTTGATAAAACAAGTTATCTTTCATTAATGAATATGTCTCCTTATCAATTTATATTGAAGGCTGAGCAAAATGAAAAAAAAAAAAGTTCTTTGACCTAATACATGACCTCTGTTAGTGTAATATTAGAAAACATATAGCTTTAAATGCAGTAGTTTGGATGTAAGTCTGTAAACACAGAAGGAAAACCATTGTATGCTCAAACAAAGCTAAAACTAGTTACATATAAAAAGACGTAGCCTTTTTTTCTCAATGTCTGGAATGTTTCTTGTTTCAGATCATTTATGTCTGCTTGTCAGTGCAAGAAAATCACATGAAATCCTCTTTCTCAGGGTGTCCTGTTATAGGCAAACTTTGTAGTAATGCTCCCACTCTAAGAGGACTTTCCACCTATGATGGGACATGACTCATTTAAATGTGTATAATCTAAATTACTTGCCCATTTCTTCCACCTTTTCTTTTTTGGCTTGTCTACAAATTTCTGCTACGAAAGACATTTATCTCTTGGGCATTGTTGCCTTCCTAAATTGTATGATGATGGCAAAACATTCCAACAATGTTGTGCCTAGAGACAAAATCTTTAAGAAGTCTTTAATAGATTCATATTTGTACTCAGATAATCAAAACTTGTTTAAAATAGGCTTAAAAACCAATGATAGGTTTATACAAGTATAGTTATCTTAATATCTTCTTTTAATAATGAAATTTTGAATTTACATTTTTTCTTGGTAAAACTAATGAAGCTGAAACAGAAGAATTGTTGTCTCACCTAATATCAGACACTGAGAAAAAATGGTTTTATTTTTTGGTTTTATTGTATACTGTACATGTGTGAACTATTGTAATTGTAGCCAAAGCATAAAGAAGGGACATTCAGCAAAACATGGATAAACAATAATTGTAATGTGTGCATTTAACAACTTGCTCATCTTCAGACCCAGGAGTTCACTTTCATGCCGGTCTTTCTGACTGCAAGGCTATTATTGGAGAAGCAGCAGAGTTAGAGTGTAAAGTAAGCAGTGAAGATTGCGAAGGAATCTGGTACAAAGATGGAGCTGAGGTAAGTTCAGAGCCCTAAAGCAGTCTTATCAGGATCGTATTCTTGAATGAAGCAATAAAGAAGAGCTATTGGTGTATTTTCTTCACTAGATTCAGTCATCTGAGAATGTATCGATTTCCAAAGAGGGATGTTTCCACAGGCTGAAAATTAACAAAGTCACAGAAGAAAATGCTGGAAAATATAAATTTGAAGCAGATGGCCGAAAGACAGAATCCGAAATCGTTGTTGAGGGTAAAAACATTTGCATGATCTAGCAGAGTGGGATTTGAGGTCTTTTGAATTGAAGCTTTAACATTTTTGTGCTTTTTCTTGAATTCAGATCCCCCTCGATTTGACACAGAGGACCTAGAAGAATTTAAAAAACCTGTAACTGTAAAAAAGGGACACAAAGCTACTTATAAATTGTCTTATATTGGCCGTGAACCAATCAAAGTACAGTGGTACCTGGAAGGTGAAGAGCTTTCAAGTGAAGGCAATGTTAATATTGACACCTCGGATGGAACCAGTCGCCTGCTTCTGATGAAGCTTCAGCGTAAGGACAGCGGCGAAATCAAGCTAAAACTGAAAAATGAGTTTGGCACCAGTGAAGCTGTAAGCCAACTTAATGTCCTTGGTATGTATATAGATTTGACACTCAAGTGTAAAGTAATCTGTTCAGCTGAAATCATCATTTTACATATCGTGTTGGACTCTGACAGATAAACCTACACCCCCAATGGGACCTCTGGAGATTGTAGAAGCCTCCTCCTCTGTAATCGATTTCAAGTGGAGACCACCAAAGGACAGTGGTGGCTGCAAGATACAAAACTATATCCTTGAACGGAACCAGGTTGGCCGGAACACCTGGAAGAAGCTTGGACCAATTGGTCCTGAAGCAAAATACAGAGATTCTGATGTAGACCATGGGAGGAGATATTGCTATCGCATCAGAGTGGAGACTGAAATGGGAACCAGTGAGCTGATGGAAACAGAAGACATTCAAGCTGGAACAAAAGGTAACCTCCTGTTAGAGGTATTAGGTTTTACTTGGCAACTTAATAATCAATTGTTCGTGGAAGGTGGATATACCCACACTGACCTGGAGTCTCCACCTCCTTGTTTAACATGCTCTATGAAAAAAACATACTGGTACATCACATCTTATTAGTTAGACTTCAGATTCAGAGAATAATCAGTCAGTTACTAGACAACAAAGAGAAAAATAGTTACAGAATCGCAGTAAAAGTAATCTGTGTCCTGTATAATGTTTTGTAACCAAGATCATATAATCACCCAAAGTAATTAAACCAATAGAATTATAAAAATTTCCTTTACTACTCAGAAAAGGCATACTATGGAAAGAATTAAGAAAAAAAAAATACAAATACCTTTCAAACCCCTTTACATGTATTATGTGATCTGGTATATCAGGGTAAAATCTAATGCTACCTTTGTAAACAAAGTCACAAGACATAAACAATAAGGCCATAAAAGAGGTAACTAATATTGATTTGATCTGTGAAGCAACATTACCTATGTTGCACATAAACTTGTTCTGTGACTCTATTTTAAAATTAAGTTTAATACTCCACACATTCCAATAGAATTACTAATTTCTGGTCTAATCTCTCTCTATAGATATATTGTAATTTTTTCTAATTTAAGCATTCTTATTTCTTCACTTAAATAGCATATTGTTATCATGCATCAACATTTCTTGGAGCAAATTAAGTTTATTTAATTTTAATCAGTTTTAAATATGAAATTATTAAGTTTTATATCTCCCTAGACCGCAACAAATATTTCTTATAAAACCAGAATGTTAAAATTGACAGAATCTTATTCCTTCTTCTTGTGTAAACAGCATACCCTGGACCTCCATCAGCTCCAAAGGTTGCCAGTGCCTTTAAAGACTGCATCAACCTCACATGGTCCCCTCCTTCAGACACTGGAGGTACCAACATTCTAGGATACAATCTGGAGAAACGAAAGAAGGGCAGCAATCTCTGGGGCCAAGTAAACCCTCCAAATGAGATCATTAAAGGTTACTTTATGACTTATGTATTAATTTTTAAACTTTTAAATTGTTAATTAATGTTAGGATAAACTGATGAGGTGCATTTATCAATATCCCTGTCCAGGTAAAGGATGTGCTGTTAAAGATGTGGTGGAAGGCATGGAGTACGAGTTTCGTGTGTCTGCAATAAACGGCTCCGGATCTGGTGAATTCAGCACTCCTTCTGAGTTTGTTTTTGCCAGAGACCCTAAAAGTAGGTGGATGTTTACAAATGTTGTGACATGACTGTCATTCTTTATCTACATTTATTTGTATGACATTAAAAGTGACGCCAAATCATATGTTTCAGAGCCTCCTGGTAAAGTGCTTGATTTAAAAGTGACAGATTCCACCTACACAACCCTGTCCCTGTCTTGGAACAAGCCCAAGGACATTAAGGGGGTTGAGGATGAAGCGAAGGGGTATTTTGTGGAGATCAGACCTGCAGAAAATACAGACTGGGATCGATGCAATTCTAATGCAATAACCATGACTTCATATACGGTAAAGGGCATGAAGTCATTGGCCATGTACTGGGTGAGAGTAATTGCTACTAATGATGGAGGCGAGGGAGAGCCTCAGGAGCTGGACAATTACATTCTCGCTATGCCCCCACCTGGTAAGTATCATTGCACCTAAATCAACCTCAAAAGATACATTTAAAGAAACAGAAAGCCAGACCATACCCTCTGAGTGTTACTTGTATATATGGATGGTGTATCATTCAGCACATAAAATTCATTTCAAGGACCATTAAAATATAAATTATTGTTAGGAATTAAATATTTTTTTCATTAGAAAGGCTCTTCAAGAATTGTTTTATTCTAAGTTTGCTAAAATCACCTGCATATAACACTGTATAATGTGTTGGCCCTATCCAAATTGATAAGGAAGTAGTTGAACCTTAGCTTGAGTAGATTATCCCACAAATCAGAATCATCTAAAGACCACCTCTAGATAAAGCAACACTTATTAACACTTTGTTCCTTAACACAATAATGGCTGTTATGTAAGATGTTTCCTCTGCCTTAGAGCTGTCAAATGTGTTTTAAGTGAAAAAACAAACTATGCTTCAATAAAACCACTCAAATGAAAGATTTTGAAAAATTTATTATTTCATGCATGTGTGAATAGAAGACTTAAGGGAAACAAAAAAAACACTGTGCAACTTTGCATATGTTAAATTCAATGTGTTGAGTCTTTTCTATAAGCCTAAGAGCTTTACTAGTCTGCATAGCTAATTCAATTAAATTCAGTTTATTTATACCAATACACAATAATAATAATTAAACTTTATTGATTCACATTGGAGAAATTTACCTCTGCTTATAATGCATCCCCTTGGGGAGCAGTTGGTTGCCATTGTGTGGCGCCCGGGGTGCAGTGTGGGGTAAAGGGTCTTGCTCAGGGACCCAGAGTGGCAGTCTGTGGGAGTGGGGCTCAAACTCAGAACCTCAGAATTTTAAGCTCTATTAACTACTAGGCCACCACTCCCCAATCAACACATGTCATCTCAACTTCAATCATCAAATCGTCATTGAACTTTGGTGGGATTAAATACAGATTATTTTCATTGTGTTAGCAATCGTATTTTCTGTTTTTATGTATCTGTCACATCCACAAAGATTGTCATCCCAAACTTTCATAGTAAGTATTTCTATTCATTGATGTTTAAAGTACACCCAGTTTATAGGGCTTGGAAACATCTGGTTAAGAAGTATTGTCAATTGAGATATTCTTTTTCAATTTGACCTTAGACTTTTTCTTTACATGAAAAAAACAGTAGCAACTTTTAAATGACAAGAATATGAGGTAAGCATTCTATTTACTTGTCTTTGAAGGTTAAAAGTGGGTAAGTGGATTTTGTACCTAATAGTGATGACCTTTCTTAAGGACGAGCTGCAAAGACTAATTGCATATCTTTGTTTACTTTGTGTTTATATAGAAAATAAAATGGGTCACACTAGTGCACTCTTGTTCATATAAATAATGTCATATCCCCAACTTTGCTTGCACATATGCCATAATGCACTGGTTTTTTATTTAAACAAAACCGTTCGATAGACATGTAAATTCAAAAATTCATTACTTAAACAAGCCAAGCTATTTATATATCATTCTTCCAACAAAGTTCATTGTGTCTATTTCTTAGTTATATATTTTTACTGTGGTATTTTTGTTATCCAGATATATTTCTGTCAGTTCTAGTGACAAAAACTTTTTCTTTTCATAGTCAGACCAAGATTCACAGATACCAAAAGCAAGAGTTTCATGATTGTGAGAGCAGGAAATTCTGCACGATTTACCATCAACTTTGAGGTGAGTTTTTAATTGTTTGACACTAGTTAAATCCATAAGCTTTGCCCTCTGTCAAGTGCTCAGAAATCTGAAAAGATTGTTGTTTATATTATTTAGGCTTCACCATGGCCAGAGGTAGTGTGGCTAAAAGATGGCGTGCCAGTATCTAAAAAGGTGACTATCAGCAATGCTGAGGGAACATCTCAGCTTCTGATCCCTTCAGCCGAACGTACAGATACTGGCATTTATACCATCATTGTCAAAAATGTAGTTGGACAGGAAACAGCTAGTATTGAAATTAGAGTAACAGGTAAGTTTGATAAAACTATTTACTCTTTAACATTTATTTATAATTTAGTATAGTAAGTAAAATTATATTTTTCTGTAGATGAACCGAAGCCACCAGGTCCAGTGGAGCTGGATGAAAATGTGCCTGGCACTGTAACCATCTCATGGACCGCATCTCCAGATGAGAAGCGAGATGACAGGCTCCACTACATGGTGACAAAGCGGGATTCAGTCAAAAGAACCTGGCACACTGTTGCAGATCGAATCTTCAACAATAAATTTACAGCCTGCAACATCTTGCCAGGCAGAGAATACCAGTTTCGAGTCTATGCCAAGAATGACATGGGCTCCTCCAAACCATCAGAATCAGCAAAGTGGCTGATTCCTGCCAAAAAAGGTGATCAGAGTTGAGAAATGAATAAGCATGTATTGCAAAATCCCAAAGCAGATCCAATATACTAACAAATGATCTTGTTACTACTACACTAGCTGACTGAATATACAGTATTTCATTTGAGATGACCACCATTAGGCCTTTTCCTTTTCTATAAATCAAGTATATTATAACTAGCATACTTTACAACTTTGAAGAAGTGCTTCTTCCCTCTATTTTTTAGACATAGTTTGATTAAGTCTTTATTTTTCTCCCCTTCAGAAAAATTCATTGTGAATATGCCGGAGTCGAAGGCCTGTGACCTGCAGTGTCCTCCCAAATTCCTTGTTCCGTTGAAAATGCACACTGCTCCTCAAGGCTATGAATGTTACATGACATGTGCTGTTAAAGGAGATCCAACACCTCACGTGACATGGCTCCGTAACAACATCAGTCTGAATACCAACACTAACTACTTCATCTCTAACACCTGTGGGGTCTGTTCAATGCTAATACTGAGGGTCGGATCGAAAGACATGGGGGAATACAAAGTTGTTGCAGAAAATCCGTTAGGAAGAGTGGAGAGTTCAACTAAACTCACTGTCAGAGGTAAGTCCTTCACAGAAAGTCTCTAAAGCTGAACAGTTTTTGTACAAGGCTCTACTCTCAGATGTATTTGCATTTCAATAAAGCAGCATCCCTTTCAAAAATAAATTGATTCAGTAATTCAAGTAAAAAAGTGACAAACAAACCTAAAAACCACAAATTGAAATAAATTAGAATGCTCATTTTTGTTCATCTGAAATATTATGAGTCACAACTGATGCAAACCCAAAAGTTCTGTTTCTTAGAAAAGTAAAATGATTAATAAACAGGGATAAAATTAAAGGGAAACTTGAGGGTAAAAAGTTTAGCTATGGCTTACCAATTCTAGGGCCCGTTGACTTGACAGGGGTCAGGCAAACAGTCATTAAGTCCTTAAAAGGAAGAGAGAGATAACAGTTAATTATAGAATATTTATTTATTTAATCTTGTGTTCTTCCAAGTATGGCTCCAAACCTTTTAATATTGTCTCTGCTTCTGATGTGGCTTTTTAAAAAATAATATTTTAAGGCTGCAGTTATTTTTGCTGTTTGTGCAACTTTTTAACACAACATTGTTTAGTGGCATCCTGTTTACTGTTGTACTGAAAAATTAATGCAACCGTTTTTGGCATCTACTTAATTATATTTAGTTACCTATACCCAGTTGTTTTACGTCCTAACATGAAAAAAAATTGTGTTAAAGTAGCTAAATATGATAAGGTAGATGCAAAATCTATTGCATAGTAGGCAATGCTTTATATTATATTATATTATTAAATAAAATGTTGTCATCCAGCCAGAAATTAGTTCCTAGGACCTATATAAAAACCGATGTTATGTGAGGTTCACCATAACAGATGGGATGTGCCCCCCCATGTCATCACAGAAGTTTCCACAGTCAGGGATGACTAGGGGGGGCATGCCATCTGTTGGTGATGTTGCACTGTGTTTTTTTGAGTCCTCTTTCAGCACAGCTGTCTACCATGGGACTTTAAAAGCATCTATTGCTTCCCTCTATTGACAAGCTTTATGGAGTTGCTGGGTAAATTTTAAAGGATGACTTCTGTTTAAAAATTATCATAAAGACTAACTTGATTCAACAACACAGACTTACTAAAAACTGCTATCAAGACAGCTTTGGCTTCCTGCATCAAAGCTGTGCCACAGTGATGCAGTAATTTGTTTTATTTTTTTGCAAAGGAAGCCTAACAAACAATCGAGAGCCTGACCTGGATAGTACAGGGTCATGATTTTAACAGCTCGATTTCTGTATAAAACAGAATAAATGATCATTTAAAGCTTTTAACACTAATACATATTTACATGGTATCCCCTTTTGAGTTGAATCACTGAAATAAATAAACTTTTTAATGGCATTCTAATTTACCTGTAAATAGAAGCTTAAACTGATTTCTTCAATTATCTTTCTTTGCAGAATAAATGGATCCATAGAGGATATCACACAAGCAACATAGTTGGAAAATAACCTTACAGAGTCAAGCAAATCCCAGAGGTGTAATGTATACCAAGTCTTACTTGTTAAGCCATCTTAATCTCAGATATAATTTTGAACACTGACAAATATGTACAGTAAAAAGGCAGAGTGTCAACATAATCTTTGAAAAAATATATCGTATTAAGTATGAACCCATTTGATTTGTTAAAATAGGAGCATGAAAGTTGTGAAAAAACTTCTGATTTTACTTTAATTGCTTTTTATTACCCTAGAAAATATCTGGTGTGACTCCATATGTTTGTGAATTCCTGGTATCATACATTGTGTTTCAAAGTTTTGACATTAAAGTGATGTAGTTGTCTCATCTATAAGCTCATCTATAAGATAACTGGTTTTCATCATTTCATTATTTTACAAGATTTGCTTTTGTTGTTTTTTTTTTTCTGATAGCATGTTACACGGGTTTTAATATGTTGACTGTCATGAAATATTGTGCAAAGGTAAAGGAAATGAAAAGAAAAGAATGAGTTATTAGGAAGTTTTTTTGTTGGTTTTGTTTGTCAGAATCCAGTCCCAGAAGAGGGTTATGAGCACATTCTCTCAGACTCCTCCGGTCTTTCTGGCATCCCCAAAACGTTAACCCCTTTCTTTTAAATATCAACATTTAACAGTGGCATCTCAATGGGAGAAAATAAGCCTCTTAAAAGGCATAGAGCTTAAAATCTAAATTGTTGTTAAAATCTCCATGTTTGTGCATGCAAGGACATAAAGGCAAATTTCTTCATAGTTAATTATTAAATCATAAGATGCTTCATTTTGTGTTATTCATGTTCTGATTTGTGTGAAAAGTTTGAATAAATCTTAAATTTAAAATTAAAATTGAGTGTTCTTTCTTAATTCAACTTTTCAAAACTGATCTTAGTTAAGTATATCCTAACATAAAAATGCAGAATATACAAAGGTTTCATCAAATAATTCACTAAAACGTGTATGCAGACCCATGTAACATGCCTTTATGTAACTGGCCTCAAAAGTACATGTATCAAGCTTCATTACAAAATTTGAATAATTTTGTTACTGTAATCATATTTTTGAATTGTTTAACTTGACTTAATTAGCATCACATAAAAGAGAGACTTACCAACCTGAACAGCTGAAACATGATCAATCTTTTGGTGAAACTTCTCGGTTGCTGGTTAAACCTACCGACAAACATTAAAAGATAATTTTGGTTTATTTCTAATTTCATTTCCATTAAAAAAATGTTAATTGGTTAAACTTTGTAATACTCTTTAAGCTATTTAATGAAAGCGCTGACATTTCCCAGCATCACAATTCAATGAGGTCTTAGAATAAAATAAAAGAAATGAAAAATAATCTCCTTACCTCTTGTGAATTGAAAAAAAAGATACAGCGTTATGTGTTTCTATCCTTAGAATTAAACAATGTGAACTCCCTTACTAATTTATCCTAAGGCATTTTTCTGCTTTCCTAATGCTTTGATTCCTAATGTTAAGAAATGAGAAATACAGATATCCTATGCTGCTTTTCCTTAGGTGTTCCCTCTTCATAAACCTATAGCACCAGGGTAAGGCATATCAGAGTAAAACTATCTCTATGTGCAACTGTAAAAAAGCAGTGGGTTGGGTTGCTCTGAGTGTCGTAAAGGCCTTTATGGCCTCTTAAAAGAAGGAGCTCACACTCAACAACCAACTGGACCGTGGCTGGCACCCGACTGCACAGCAAAGCAGCTAAAGTGAAAAAATAGTAAGTACATTCACAGAAATGACAAGGTTTCTATCTGCAGCATGTTTTTGGATGTCTACATAAGACCAATAATGATATCTGTATTTCACTTGGCAAGTGTTTGTTTATATTAATTTCATGTTTAAAGAATACATAGGCAGCATACTCTACCATGTGAGAATATCCCTTGAATTCTATCATGACATTAAGATAACGGCCCCATAGATGTGTGTTGATTTCCATTTTGGGTGAAGCTGCATATGAAAAATATACTATAATATACTATCAGAACAAGTGTGTATTCATAAGAAAAATAGAAAAGGACAATCCTCTTCACTTTCCTCCAGAGGGTTGCAAAGTTTTAATTCTGCATGAAAAAAGAAAATGCATGTTCCATTTTAGGAGAGAGCTCTGCAACTTAAGATTGAGAGCTTGCATTCATAAATCACTTCACTCTAACATCGTTGGCAAAAAATTTTTCTCTAACAGAAAATGTCACTTCAAAGCAGCCCATGTATAAAATTCAAAAATATGCTGCTACTCCAGTCAGATGAGAGCTCGACTGATTTGGTCCATTAGAATTTACTTGTAATAAACTCAAGTGTTACTTTATATATTTTTTCAACAAGACCAGATTCTTGATGGACTGACATGATACAGGAAAAAACTAAAAGAATTAGTATTTACCAGTTAGAGTAGGAAACATATGTTATTACAATTATAAATCTTCAGATAGACTCCAAAAAAGGTCCTTCTGTGAATTCATTATTTCTGTGACATTTTGACCTATAGAAAGGTGATACCTGGATAAGCTGGGTAGCACTATGAAAGCTATTTTATAAATGTATTATATGATTCCAAAATTTTTGTACTTGATTTAGAAATCTAGCAATAACACTATTCACACTTTTCGGGGACTTATTTTTATACATAATTGTCAAAATATATAATAATAATATAAATGTAGTATAGTTATATATACAAATGAAATCCCCCAAAGTATACAAAAATACTGTCATTTTGCTTTATAAAATGGTAACTTAAGGTTATAAAAGTTGTTAATTTTCAGCTAAGACTGTATATAGGTTAATGCAGGATGTGAGCAGAGACAGTCTTTTATGTATTAACATGAAAATAAAAAAACTAAATCCTTAGCAAACTTCTAAGCTCTAACTGTATCAAACACCCTTTTTTTTTAAAGTACATCATAAAACTTTTATCCATTTTTCTGCTGTTGCCAAGTGAAAACAAATAGCTCCCACCAACACTGCATTTTCTAAAAACACATCCAGCCATAAACCTCTAGGTCCTGCAATGATAAGTGATACCTAGAACATATTTAGACCATCTGCATCACATAAATTATTTTAAAGACAGTGGTCAGCTACAGAACTCAGTGAAATTTAGTAATATGGTACTGTATGTACAGACTTTGGTACAAATGACCCTGGTATTCATTTGAGATAAAGAAGAGAGGTTGCTATAATATCCAGGGAAATCAAACAGTGGAATATTCAGAGCTCTAAAAGTGTCTTGTGATTTTCTTGCATAAACAGACAACTTGGTGTGAAGATGTTTAAGGTTTGCAAAGCAAAGGATGAGCAGCCAACTGCTCCTGGGCAGGGTAAGGCAAAACATAACAAACTGATATTAACGATTACATCCTGTATCAAGGAAAATTAAGGTTATAAACCTTTATTAAATATATTATTAGAGAATTAAGCAAACTATGACATGCAAAAATGCTACACAAAAAAAAATTCCCTTTTTGTAATCAATTTGTAAAAAAGTCATCCTCTTGTCATTTAATGTCAGTAAAAATAAGAAAGAAGTCACGGGTGCCTGGAGTTATGATCACTCAGTATGTGGAAGAACTTCCAGAAGGTATGACTACTCCAGATTTCACACGGAAACCTATCGCTCTCACAATCCCAGAAGGTAATATTGAGCAATGTTTTACTTACTTTTTTATTATAAGATGATACAACAATGAAATTCTTTCTGCTATGTGTGTAGGAAAGATGGCATTTTTTAGAGCAATAGTTACAGGTAATCCAACACCAAAAGTGTCTTGGGCGAGAAATAATGGGGAGATTGATGAGGAAAGATACAAGTTCGTATTTGATCCGGTTTCTGGTGAACATCAGCTACAGGTACAGTCACCCATTTCTCAACATTGTGCACACTACGACAAAAATTGCACATTTCCCCTTGTGAAGAACAGTAAAAAACTTGTTTTCCTTTAAAGATGCCAGACGTGTGTGCAGATCAATCAGATACCTACAAATGTTATGCCCGAAATGAGTTTGGAAAAGCACTTGTAACAGTCACACTCAATGTCATTGAAAGTAAGATGTTACAAATTTAATACTTTTTTTTTTTTGTAAACAACAACTTCTGAGATGACTTAAATCTTCTTCATTTAGTTGGCTATAAGAAGAGCAAAGCAATGAAAGAATCCAGAACAGGTATACACGTTGCATGTTTATACACAGAAAATGAAATTATTGTTTTGTAAAAAAAAAAAAAAAGTTTATTTCAGTAAAAATAACTGTACTTCTTTAAGCTGTTCGAGAGTTACCAGAAGACTTCAAAAAGAACCTGAGAAAAACGTAAGTGATCTAAATCTGTTACTGCATAATTTTTCTTTAAATCTTTTTTTGCTTTTTTTTTTAAGTAAATGCTTTTTGTATTTATTTGTATGTAGTTATCCACTGTTGAAACTTGCAATGCTACTCCAGGAGTAGTGAATGCTAAATATAACTGCAGTGTGTTGGATTTGCTTTATTACAAAACCTTTTACCAAATTTCAATAATTAATGTAACTTGATGGATCAATATGGATGGGATATACTTGACTTGGAAAACCGTCTGCATAATTAAATTGCATTGCCTGCTTTTTGTAAAGGGTCTTCACATGACATGCATTAATAATTGGAACTGTCTAATTAAATAAAACTGAATTGCATCTCATTTTTTGTGTTTTCCCCTTTTGAGCGTGGGCATTGAGCCAAAGGAAGAGAAAAAGCAAGAAATCGATGACCAGTTTTGGGAACTATTGTTGAGTGCAGACAAAAAAGATTATGAGAGCATTTGTGCACAATATGGAGTCACCAACTTTCGCTGGATGCTCAAGAAGCTTAATGAGAAGAAGATAGAGCGAGAGGAGGAGCAGCAGAAGGTTTGCCTTTACACTATCTGTGAAAAGAAACCAAATATACAAAATAAAATCTATAATATTGAACATAAAGAAAGTTTGATATAAATGTGTATTTTTTTTTTTTTTTTCTTATTCAAATGGATTTAAGGTTGTGGAAAAACTCTGTAACCTGAAGCCCATTGAACTGAAACATAACGGTGCTGCAGAATTTGAAATTGAGATGTCACTGAAGGACCCAACGAGTAAAGTTTTCATATTCAAGGTAAATTAATTTGTTACTAATTTTTGAAAGGCAAAAAAAAAATAAAAATAAAAGCCCTAGTGTATCCTACTCACAACTACCTTTTTTTTTTTATATTGGTTCATCTTTACGGCACAACTTGTCATAAAAGGATGGGGTTATGATTCCTTTCGATGCAGACACTGAGGTAAAACACGGACTCAAGCGAGTAGGAAAAAGGTTTGTGTTTAGCATAAATGGGGTTAATCCTGAAGATGCAGGACTATACCAACTCGAAGTTGATGGAGTAAAGATATTTTCAACTGAACTGAAAAGTAAGAGCATAAACAATTAAAACCCTTTTTTATAGAGAACTTAGGTCAAGATGTTGTACTTGATATTACTTTGTAACTTGACAAAATATTCCATGTGCTAAAAATCATAAACATTTGCTTTTTCTAGTTCCAGATGTGGATTTCTTGGTAAAGATTCAAGATGTGAAAGCAGAAGAAAGAGAGGATGCAGTGTTTCAGTGTGTGCTCTCACGTCCTATGACAAAAATCATTTGGATGGGAAAAAATAACCCAGTGGAGCAAGGAGATAAATATGATGTTACGACATCAGATGACATGCTGATTCACACTTTAGTGGTGAAAGATTGCCTTCTACTGGACAAAGGAATTTATTCGGCTGTGGCTGGGCTTAAATCCTGCAGTGCCTGGCTTATAGTAGAGGGTGAGGCTTAACTATTTCAAATAATTTTCCAACAGGTTAATGCTTTATTGTTAGGTCATTAGCAGGGCTGGATAATCTGACTGCATACTGACCACTCATTCACACAGACTTCCTCATACAAGCATCCTCTGCTTTATCACAAATTGAAGCTTTTCCAGCTAATGTTGCATTGCAGCATGATGCACAGCTCCCCTCAGTTGTTCATCATATATACGGATCAAGTCCGTTTCAGACGGATGATAAAATGCTTAAATATCCTAAAACCAGATGAGCCACACAGGAGGTCAGACATAGAACGAGTGGATAGAGCGGATGAATGGACAGTGGTTTTCATTGTGTGAGGACTGCTGCACAACAACTTTGTGTCATGGATGATGGAGTGGACAGATGAAGTAGTTTGTGTGAAGCCAGCTTTGGACGTTATATCCTTGTGGATGCAGAGACATTTAAAAGGTGCAGAACAACAGACCTTTAGGGGCCAGAGATAAGAACCTGGTAAAACCTACCATAATCTGTGTCTGGAAGGATAGATTTCTGGGTTCCCGTTGTTTTTCCTGTGTCCTTCACAAGGTGATATAAAATAACCAAAGCACCACGCATATATATTACTTGAGAGGAAATACCTCTTCTACTTAAATTAAATATGTCTAGTGATGCTTTTACAGCTGCTCTTGACTTCCTTTTGCCAAACATCATCATTAGTCCTCTTTATGAAAATCCCAAGTGATAGTAAAGCTTTCCTTGAAACAAAAAGCATCACTTAATTTAGATCCTTAATGAGCTATACTTCA